GTGCTCACAGTATCCCTTGGAGACTTGATCACGTAGCCAAATTGTATTGTGGGAACTTGCATGATTTTAACACAGCCACTCATCATTTCAGGTGTGGCATTGTGACACCATCCAGTTCTCTATGGGGTCCCTGATCTGCTGAAATCACCTATGTAACGAGTTCAACAAACATGAAGCAGAAGCACACAGGGGAATATGGGGGGGGGGGGCATGATTATTTGCGTACTCTAAAAGTTTGGGGGTAAATCATTACTCTCATCCAGAATAATCTGTTGAATAATTTCTGTCTCCCTATTTAAAAGTGTATTAACCACTTCAAGAGAGGGACAAAAAGCCTTGCGGGGGTTGAGTCTGGCAGGATGCTGAGACAATCTCTTCGAAAAACATTTCTGTGCACTGGAGGGTCACCTGGAATTCAGCACTGGAATGCCAAGGAATCCCTCAGGACCTTGAGATCTGTGCATGATCAGCCTGCTTTTCTTGTCCTCTCCACTGCACACAAATCCCACGTCAGTGACGGGAATTGCATCCATTTGTGCAGCAAGCAAGCAAGCAGCCTGGCAAGCCCTAGAGGCAAAGTCTCCCGCTAGATGGCGCCTACCGAGCAAGAGGGATGATCAGGGCTTACAGGACACACTCCACTGGAAACAGACACCAGCGACGGGAACAGCTGGGCCAGCTGCCAAGACGGTTCTGTGATGTGGGAGATTGCTACGACTGCAGCAGAGGGACGAGACTGGCTCTGGATGCTCCAGCCCCTGGCCCATTGCACGTGCTGGGTGGAAATGGCCCTTCAGCATCTAGGCAGATGGATATCTGCACTGCCCAGTAAACGTTAGGCTCTCCACTAGGCAGGGAACGAGGGTCATGGTTTCTGAACCACTGCAAGTGACCATAAGTTGGTGAAAGAAACTATGCTTGCATGTTTGGCCTACATGACCTTGGTGGTAGTGGTGGCCTCCAGCTTGGATGCCTTAAAAAGATGATTAGAAAAATTCATGTCAGTTGCTACTAATGCTGATAGATATGTTTCTCATGGCTCCCTCTGAGCCCACTGTTCAATGTCATTATTAGTGACTTGGATGAAGGTATTGATGGGATGGTTACCAAATTTGCAGGTGACACCAACCTGGGAGGGGTAGATAATGCCACAGAAGACAGAATCAGGATTCTTAGCAGATTGGAGAACTGGGCACAAGCTAACAAAATGAATTTCAATGGGGACAAATGTAAGGTAGGAAGAACCAGATGCACAAATTTAATATTGGGGGTTGGGGTGCCTGGATTGTGAGTAATACATGTGAAAAGGACCTAGGAGTTTTAGTGGATCATAAGTTTACCATAAATCAACAGTGTGATGCAGCAGGAAAAAACGCTAATGCTATTCTAGGCTGCATCAACAGAAGTCTAGTGTCCCTATCAAGAGCAGTCATAGTCCCACTCTATTCTGCCATGGTCAGAGCACACCTGGAATACTGTGTCCAGTTCTGGGCACCACAATTTAAGAAGGATGTTGACAGGCTGGAACATGTGCAGAGGAGGGCAACCAAGATGATAAATGGAAACTAAGCCTTACGAGGAGCAGCTGAAGTAGCTGGGCATGTTTACCCTGGAAAAGAGGAGACTGAGAGAAGATATGATTGACATGTTCAAATATCTCAAGAGTTATCACATGGAAGAGGGAACAAGATTATTATTAGTATTATTAATTTTATTAGTATTAAAATTTATATGCCACCCTATACCCGCCGGTCTCAGGGACTTCACAAAACAAAAACACAAAATACATAATCAAAATAAAAACAAAAGCAACCCAATAACCCCCCCCCAAACATTTTAAAAGGGCATTGATTTCTCCTTCTCTAGGACCCAGTCTAATGGATTCAAGCAGGGGTTGGACTAGATGATCCTTGGGATCCCTTCTAACTCTACAGTTCTGTGATTCACACCAGGAGTGGGAGGCACGCAAGGACAACATGTGAGTGTCAGGCAGACAAAGCCCCACTGTGCCCACAAGACGTGCCTGGAACAAATGAGGCAGGAGATCTGGGGCTGCTCCTTCCCAGACTATGGAGGATGAGAGGGCTCAGAGGCCCAGCCTGCTGTGAGGAGGAAACTCATCAAGAGAAAAGAGGGGATTCGCTCCCTCCAGAATTCACTCCCTCCTCTTCAGGCTAGAAATTCCCATAGTGACTAGAATTCTCACAAGAAACTGAACTTTCTCCGTCTGTGCCTAAAAACTTGGTGAGTAGGCAGGGAAACTTTGCAGATCCTGTGTGGTCCTGAAACAGGATGTTATCCTGCCAAAATAAACGGGAGCGGCACAAGGACATCCTGGCAGATTGTACAGTGGTGCCCCGCAAGACGAATGCCTCGCAAGACGGAAAACCCGCTAGACGAAAGGGTTTTCTGTTTTTCGATGCGCTTCGCAGGACGAATTTCCCTATGGGCTTGCTTCGCAAGACGAAAATGTCTTGCGAGTCTTGAGATTTTTTTTCGCTTCCCCCCTTTTTTCTAAGCCGCTAAGCCGCTAATAGCCTTTTAGCAGCTAAGCCGCTAAGCCGCTAAGCCTTTAATAGCCGCTAAACCGCTAATAGCGCTAAGCCGCTAAGCCGCTAATAGGGTTGCTTCGCAAGACGAAAAAAACGCTAGACGAAGAGACTCGCGGAACGGATTAATTTCGTCTTGCGAGGCACCACTGTACTCCATGTTAATCAGTGTGAGGGAAGCATTATTTGGATGCTCTTCCCAAGCACCAAAATATCTTCAGCCTGTATCTGCGCCTAGGAGCACAGGGAGCTGTCCTGGAGCAAGGCAGGCAATTTGTTCATCTGGCCCACGGCTGTCTACCTGGACCGGCAGGGTCTCTGGCAGAGAAAGCTCTTCCCCATCACCTGGTATCTTCAACCAAGCCTTTGGCTGATTACTATCCTATGGCCTTTTAAATGTATCTGTGGGAAGGGGGGGCATTATTGTCTTGTTGTTTTGGTTTAATTATTTAATTGTGTTTTATTTTGTATTTTATTCTGTGAACTGTCCTGGGATCTCTTTATGAAGGGTGGTATGTATGTATGTATGTATGTATGTATGTATAAACAAACAAATGTCTGGCATCATGAGTGGTGCAGCTAGGTAATTCTAAACCAGCCTTCGGCAACCCGGTGTGTAGGAATGGTTGCTGGGTGTGGAGCACACACTCCCTCCCCCCCCCCCACAAACAAAGCCACAGCTGTCTGAACATCATGCACCCTATCTAACCTTTGCATTCTTAGTGGTCTGCCGTACCCTGTCTGTGACCTTTGTCTCCTTCGCCATACATTGTGCAAGGGGAAAGTGACGCGGTGGAAACAGGTGCCAAAATACCCTTGTACCACCCCACGATCTCAGGACTGGAAGATGTAAAGGTCACAGTCCAAAATGTATCTGTCTGGTTTTGCATATTGTGCCAATAAAAAGGGCCTCAGCAGAGCTAGCTGGCAGCTTGCCTGTGCACAGCTCACCTGCATTACCAACTCCTGCCTCATGTCCTTCACTTCGCCAGTGCCTTCACCAAACTGGTTTGGACTACAACTCCCAGCCAGCTGGAGCTGATAGGGTTTATAATCCAAACAAGTTTGGAGAAGGCTGCTTTAGAACCCACATGTAATGGTCTTAAGAGATCCCCATTCCCATTCCATGCTTTACAACTGCTCCTAGGTTCCTAATATATTAGTGCAAAAACAGTGCACCAAGCCTGATTTTAAAAACAAAAGAAAGATTCTAAGATGTGCAGTTCAGATTTTAAAACCTCTCTAAAATCATAAGCTCCACCATGACTTCGGGAATAATATTGAGTTTGCTTCTGCTGCTCTGCTGCTCTGCTGCTCTGCTGCTAAACCCATTTGCTTGGGATTAAGCAACATTTTGTTATGAGGGGGGGGTCTATTTTTAAAGTGAGAGAGAGAAAGAGAGCATCTGTAACCATGTACTTTCCCAGCCTGCAGTTCTGACTATAATTTTTTTTAAAGAATAAAAGGATCTCACCTTCAATTTAACTGGAGCTGCCTTTAGGGATTAAACTTGGGATCCTCTGCACCGCAGGGCCTCTACATCTTGAGTGGTGATCCCTCCCCTCACCAAAGGAAGGGTTGAGAGTTCTCTAGACATTAGGCAGTGGGCATCCTACAAAATCCAAACACCAAACTTCATGCAGAAATCCAGGTTCCAATGGCCCGCCACCCGGCGTTTTGGTGGAACTAGGAAGCTGTTTTTACTCAGTGAGACTGATCATCCATCAAGCTCAGTATTGCCTACACTGACTGGCAGTAGCCCTACCTGGAGATGCCAGGGATTGAACCCAGGCGCTTCTGCATGCAAAGCAGATGAGCTACAGCCCTTGGCTACAAATGACTTATTTGTAGCCAAGTTGAAGTTGTTGTGGTCTGTCAAAGCTTTGTAGTCTTATTGCCACAGCCCAAATATTGGACAGACTAGTGTTATTTGCAGGTGGAATTCCATCACATACCCGCAACTTCATGTTATGGAATTACTGTATAGCAGATTTTGCACTCTTCAACAACAAACCCCTTTCCCCCCAAATTCAGACTTTTTGCAATGAGGAAAGTGACAGGGAAATGATAGGGGAAGTGTGGGATAACCCTCGTTTTGCCACAAAGTCATCTAACCTCAAACAAGTGAGGGGTGAATGCTCAACAAACTAGTCATCTGGAAGCCCCTCAGGGGCACAACACTGCCACCCAGGCAGACCCACATCTGAATTCCCTTTCGCTGGAGTCTGCAATGCCAGGTTGCAGAAGACTTTATCAGCTGCGCCTTTGTATATCTTTCCTTGTATATCAAAGAGAAGAGCCAAGAGCAGGGAGCAAAGCAGGAGCCGAGATCCTCTTGGCACCAGGGAGGAAAAGAGGCAGTTTGCTCTCTGCTCAAGAACCCTGGAGAGCGCGGCAGGCAACAAGGGCACCTTCAGGCGTTGGAAAGGGGACTGCTGAACTGCTTTCCCATCAAAGGAGCCGCTTCATGTAAGCCTTTCGAGTCCCGAGCTCCCCGGGGCTCTTTCTGAAACAGACACTGTCGCTGAAGCAGCCTCCTTGTGTGCCAAACAGATGAGCCACTCGCTCTGCTGTGTGGAGCAGCTCCTCTCCCCCGCTCTCCGCAGGCCAAGCCTCACAACTGAATTCACAGAGGAAAACATTTTGGAAAGACCTGGGAGGGGAGGGGAAGAAGATATCCCAACACAGCAAAGGGGCAGGCAGGCATCTCCCATTTTTTGGCACAGCCTGAGCCTCAAACAGCCCCGGCTTTAAAGTCTCCCCTTCAGGGCCATCCCCACAATGTGGCAGGGTGAGGCCACAGCCCCAAGGGGCTGGGGCTGGGCTGCAGCAAAATCTCTCCCCCCCCCCCCCCGGATCCTCCTGACCTCACCAAGCTGGCTCCCCTAACCCCAGACCCCAAAGAGCATCAGGACAGGAGAGGATGCACACAGGGAAGCTACATGGGCCTCCCCAATTTGCTGAGAGGCTGGCTCCAGGTTGGGACAGTATCAGATCTTCCTGGGTCAGTGTTGGACTGGGACCTGGATTGAACTGAGGGGAGGCACACACAGCCCGAGGAATAACCTCTTAAGAAAAGATGTGCAATGGTCTCCGCAAACCACCATTCTCTGAGAGAAGCCATGATAACAGTTCATTGGTTATAAAATAGAGATCTGCATGTAGCAAGTGATCTCTTGCTCGCTTGTCTCTCTATTAGCACCTAATTCTTTGCACATGTAAAGGTAAAGGGACCCCTGACTACTAGGTCCAGTCGTGGCCGACTCTGGGGTTGCGGCGCTCATTTCACTTTACTGGCCGAGGCAGCAGCCGTACAGCTTCCGGGTCATGTGGCCAGCAGGACTAAGCCTCTTCTGGCGAACCAGAGCAGCGCACAGAAACGCCGTTTATCATACAAATACCCAAATGCACTATTTCAGATATATGAGTTCAGAACAGAACATGAATTTAGCAGGTTTCTGGTGGTGGTTTTTAAAGTAGTGTTACAAACCACTGCTTCCTGGACAGGAAGCATACCAAACTGCAGAGAGCCAACGCAGTATTATTATTAGCTCAGTCCTAGATTCCCCCAGCCAAGCTCTCTAGGCTAAAACTCAAATCCTGCTGTCTCCAGCAGCCACTAGGAGTGTTCAGAGCCAGCTCCATGCAACAGCCTTCAGAGCAGTCCAAGAAGACATCGTCCTTGGAAGAGCCTTTGCTGTCCTCCTGGGACAGGACTCAGCACACACTGAGCACTGAAGCTGCTCGTCAGGGTCCCTGCTTGTGGGAAGCCAGAGTGCAATGGGGGAAGGCCTGGGTGGTGTCAGGAGGCAGCAGAGTGGAAACGCCAGGCAAGATGGACCTAACAGGCTCAGTCCACTGGGAGGTCCTCCAGAGCACGCCTTGCTGAAATGAACAGGAGTTGCACACACTTGCACTCAGCTCCTTTTAAGAACAAAACACTAACTGTGCTGGGTGAGGCCCGCCTAGTCCAGCATCCTGCCCTCCAAGTTGCCAGCTGGATGCCTCTGGGAGGCCCACAAGGAGGACTCGAGTCCAGCTGTGCTCTCTCCTCTGCAGCTCTTCAGAGGCACAGCATTCCCAGGACTGGAGGCAAAGCATGGCCGTTGGGGCTAGTAGTCACAATGTTTATTTCAAGGAGGCATGTGCAGGAGATAGTCCCAGTAGATTGAGCTCCATGTGAGATCTTTGCAGAAAGGGCAGCACACAGCTATATTCCTGCCTTCAGTTCTTAACCCTGTCATCCCAAAATTTCAAGCTGTTTATAAATTTGTTTGCTTTTTTTTAAAAAAAAAGCATACAAAAATAAACTTCTAAAAATATGGGTGTAAGATTTAAAACCATCAACTACCACCAATCAACCACCTCTCTGTCATGTCTCCCCCCCACCTCACCCCCCAACACCTGCTTGAGAAACTCACTGCCAAGCTTCCCAACCTGATCTGATGGTACAAGCTCTGGGGAATTTTGTCAGAGCAACAGAGAGACTTTGGGAACTCTGCCTGGATGAAGCCAATGCCAGCCTGTGGCAGATGGCCTCAAGGCAGCAGCCCCCACCTCCCAGCTGAGCAGCTTTGCAAACAGAATGAAATTGTTGCTTGCCCACTAAGGGGAGAAAGAAAGAAAAATCAGCTGTCCACACTTCCCAGGTGCCACAGCTAGCTATGAAAACAGTGCGTCCTTCCCACAAGTAACAGTGTTGCAATGCCCACCTATCTGGAAGAAGCGGTGTTTGATTCGAGAAACCATCCTCCAAACCACAGACAAACGGGGATTTCTTGCTTGGCTGATAGGAAGAAAGGTAGTCAGACCTTGGTCCACCTAGCTTAGATGGTCCGCAGCAGGGGCAGGGGATCTGGTGCCCTCCTGGTGTGGTTGGAATGGCCAACAGCATGATGGGACTTGAAGTCCAGTAACATCTGGAGAACCACAAGACTGCTGACTGGCAACAGCTATCCTGGGGCCTTCTGCATGTGCAACAAGTGTCTTATCATGGAGCTGCACTTCAGACCTGAGCACGGCAAAGAAGTTATGAATGACACACACAGATTATGCTCTTCCCTCTGTGGCTGTTTGTTTCCTAACACAATTCCAAATTTTGTTTCATACCAGCTACTGTAATTGAATGCTATCTTAGTTGCCAGCCTTACCTCTGCCCCCACAGTAGTGGGGGCAGTTTCAAACATTTAAAAACTTCCCTAAATAGGGTTACCTTCAGGTGTCTTCTAAAAGTTGCATAGTTACTTGTCTCCTTGATATCTGATGAGAGGGCATTCCAAAGGGAGAGCACCACCACCAAGAAGGCCCTCTGCCTGGTTTCCTGTAACCTCATTTCTTGCAGTGAGGAAACCACCAGAAGGCTCTTGGGGCTGGACCTCAGTGTCCGGGCTGAATGATGGGGTGGAGACGCTTCTTCAGGTATACAGGGCCAAGGCTGTTTAGGGTTTTAAAGGTCAGCACCAACAGTTTGAATTGTGCTGAGAAACATACTGGGAGCCAGTATATATGGTTATATGTTATATGGTCCCGATGGCAACTCCCAGTCACCAGTTTAGCTGCCACATTCCGGATTAGTTGTAGCTTCTGAGTCACCTTCAAAGGTAGCCCCACGTAGAGTGCATTGCAGTAGTCCAAGCGGAAGATAACAAGAGCATGCACCACTCTGGTGAGACAGTCTCTGGGCAGGTAGGGTCTCAGCCTGCGTACCAGATGGAGCTGGTAGACAGCTGCCCTGGACAAAGAATTGACCTGCGCCTTGACAGAATTGACAGCTGTGTGTCCAAGATGACTCCCAGGCTGCGCACCTGGTCCTTCAGGGGCACAGTTACCCCATTCAGGACCAGTTGTGTCCACTTTCTGGACACAGCCCAGGAGGAAGGAGAGGAACCACTTTAGAACAGTGCCCCCAGCTCCCAAGCCCCCTCGACGTTCCAGAAGGATACCATGGTCAATGGTATCAAAACCACCAAGAGATGTTAGTTAGTTAGTTAGTATACCGCCCTTCATCAGAAGTTCACAGGATGGTTCACAATATAAAAATACAAAATGAGAATACAAAATACATAATAAAACAAAAACAAAAGCAAGCCAATAACCCCTCCCACGAGCACATTTAAAAAGCCATAGAATGTTAATTAGCCCAAGGCCTGGTTATACAGCAGCATCCCCCCACCCCCGCACCTAAAGATATGTAATGAAGTCACCAGGTGAGCCTCCCTGGGGAAAGCATTCCACGAATGGGGAGCCACTGCAGAAAAGGCCCGTTCTCCTGTTGCCACCCTGCGGGCTTCTCGTGACGGAGTCACCTGGCTGGACTGCAACAGAGAGAAGGCACCTGTGTTGCCCCACCCCCTCTGCCTTTGGCGCCCAGCCCACAGGGAAGGTGACCCTTGGGCTGAAAAAATTCCTGGACCGTGGACCAGAAAGGCAAGGGAAGAGATGCAAATGGGAGGTGGCGATGCCACTGATTCAGACACTATCCTACAGGCAGAAGCCACTTCAGGATGTGCTAAGGTATGCGGCCTTACCTGAGTCAGACCATTGGACCATCAAGTTCAGTACCACATACACTGACCAGCAGCAGCTCTCAAAGGTGTTAGACCGGAGACATTCCTGGAGCAGGAGGGGCTCTGTTTGCCATCCCCTTGAAGATTCATGCTACAGGGCCTTCTCCATGCTGGCACCCTGGTTGCAGAACTGCCTCCCCTTGGAGATGCATTCCTCTTCTTCACTTTACAGATTTAGGCTTCAGCTGGAAACATTTTTTGTTTTCTCCTTAGGCATTTATAAATTGAGGCCAGGTTGCTTTAGTACAAACAGCTGCAGATTTTCCGGAAGGGTTTTTGAATGGTTCTAAGCTTTACAGATATTTTACAGTTATAGTGGTTGTTGTTATGTTTAGCTATGATAAGTATATTGTGGTTTTGTATTCTATGCTACATTGCCCTGGGAGAAAGGCTATTTGGAAATGTAATGAATGAATGAATGAATGAATTGTGCCCATTAGTTTGCCAACGCCAGGATTTCTGTGTTATCACCAACAACTGTTTTGTGAATGACTGCTGTGAATAATGTAATCTCAAGGCTCTGTCTGTATTTCCTACATTTCATTTCTCTCGACCTCCCCAACCATGTTTGTGTGTGTGTGTGTGTGTGTGTGTGTGTGTGTTAGTAACACAAGATAATGCTTACTGTATTCAAAGCACAAAGCTTACGCCACAATACATTTGTTAGTCTTTAAGGAGTTGTTTTTGTTGCAAGTGACTATCCCTCTGGAATTTGTGATTTTCTGCTGATTTACAAATATGCAAAAATAGCCTCTAGGAGGCATGCGGAGACACCAGGAGCAACAGCATTTGAAGGATCTCCAGCTAACTAACAAACAAAAAAAAACCTTGCCACTCTCTCTTCTACAGTGGTACCTCTGGTTACGTACTTAATTCGTTCCGGAGGTCTGTTCTTAACCTGAAACTGTTCTTAACCTGAAGCACCACTTTAGCTAATGGGGCCTCCCACTGCCACTGCGCCGCTGCATGATTTCTGTTCTCATCCTGAAGCAAAGTTCTTAACCTAAGGTACTATTTCTGGGTTAGGGTTAGGGTAACCTGAAGCGTATGTAACCCGAGGTACCACTGTATTTCCTTTCCCAAGACAAGCTCTCCCCCCTGCTTCTCCTTCAAGAGGACTGACTTCTGAGCCCACCCGCAT